GTACTTAAGCAGAGTTCAAATTGCATTTTGACTGATAGAGGTGGTCTGCAAAAATAATTGGTCTGCCCATCACAATACCCTTATAAAATCAGAGACCTCCCAGGTTATGATTTTCAAATCTTATAGAAGCGCCTCGTGTCTCTTATGCAGGGGCTTAGCCTCTCCCTCCCCCATAATTTGAACCCTGTACTTAAATTGATACTGTCCATTTGAAACTAGTTAGCTTCAGTGAAATGACCAAACCCTTTTTATAGGCATTGACCTACGTCTTAGACTTCCCTTGCATTTTTTTTGTTTTTAAATTGACCACATGTTCCTTGTTGATTTTCCCCAATGTTTTTCCTATTGCTTTGGGGAATGCCTACTTCAGTGATTCTCAACCAGGGTGGCGCAGCACCTTGGGATGCCTTGAGATCCTTTCAAGGGTGTCAGAACATGCCACACAATGTTACCACTGTTAGGTTTAAACATGATTTTACATGATAAACCCAGAAACTTTAAATAGAAATCCATAGTTGTGATCTTTCTAGGTTCTTTGCAACAGGAAAAAGTACACTTTTTTTGTTTTTGTAGGCAAAAGAAGAGTGAATACTAAGGGCTGGCATTTTCCAAGGAGGTGTCTCAAGTTTATTCAGGGGTTTCTAAAAAGGCTGATAACCACTGACCTGCATGAACAGGACAGTGAATGCTTGCACAGCAGAGTTCCCAGGGCAGGAATGTAGATTTGTGCACGGTCTAGGAGAGAGCTGGAAGCGCATGATTGTTCCTGCATCCATCCCAGTCCTCTTGTCTGTCTCCATGGCAGGGACTGAGATGGGATTTCTGCTACATTCTCTCTCTAGCTATACGATATCCTGCTTCTGTCATCTCCTTGATAGACATAGGACCCCCATTCATTCCTGAACCCAGCTCTACTTCTCCTCTGGCACTCAGGTGGTTAAGAGAAGCCATAAAGTTCTGTGAGAATCAGGTTGAATTTCTGCTGCTTTGGTTTAGACTGACATTTGCAATAGTTGTTCAAATATATAATACTACTGTATATATATTATTACATGTACATATGTACTGGCATTGTATATGCATTAGGGCTGTGCAAAATTTTGCCCAGCATTTCAAAACTGTTTCGATGCGTTTTGAGCTCGAAACAGCGAAATCAAAACAAAACACAAGCCTTCAAAACAGCTTCAAAATGAAATGAGAACTTGAAACGTTTCGAGTTTCAAAGCCAGGTTTACTGGTTTCAGTGCTGGTCCCAGCCGGCAGTAACCGCCTCCTGTCATCCGGCAGGCAGATCGGGGCCTTGCCCGCACCTCTGGGAGGGCTGCAGGGACTGTGCTGGAGTCTTCCTGGGGGTACAGGCCCCCAGTCTGCCTGCCAGATGACAGACCAGCGCTGGGCACAGCCCACACCCGGCACTAGGAAAATTGATGCTGCTACTGGTCCCAGGCAGCAGCACCCAGCTCCTGTCACCTGGCAGGCAGACCATGGGTACCACCACCAGGAGGACTGTGGCACAGCCCCCGCAGCCTTCCCAGGGGTGTGGGCAAGCCCCTGATCTGCCTGCTGGCTGACAGAAGCTGGATGCTGCCCCCTGAGGCCAGCGGGGCCGGGACAGATCAGCTTGTGTGGGGACCTGCTGCCCCAGGATCGGGGGAAGGTCCCTCCATGAGCGGATCTGCCCTGGGCCCTGCTCCCTCCTCAAGCCAGCTCCGGTACAGATCAGCTCGTGTGGGGACCCACCACCTTGATCCTGGGGAGGGTCCCCGCAGGAGCTGATCTGCCCTGGACCCTTGCTGGAGCTGGCTCGAAGAGGGTGCAGGGCCTGGGGCAGATCAGCTTGTACGGAGACCCTCCCTAGACGGCGGGTCCCTGCACAAGCTGATCTGCCTCAGCCCCGTACCAGAGCTGGCTCGAGGAGGGTGTGGGGCCCAGGGCAGATCAGCTTGTGTGGGGACCCTGCCCTGCCCCAGGATCGAGGTGGTGGGTCCCCACACAAACTGATCTGCCCTGGTCCCGTACTGGAGCCGGCTTGAGGAGGGTGCGGGGCCCAGGGCAAATCAGCTCATGCAGGGACCCTGCCCCGCCCCAGGATCGGGGCGGTGAGTCTCCACACGACCCAATATGCCCCAGCCCCATACTGGAGCTGGCTCGAGGAGGATGCGAGGCCCCCACTCTGGGATCAGGGTGGTGGCTCCCTGCACAAGCTGATCTGCCCTGGCCCCATACCAGAGCTGGCTCGAGGAGGATGCAGGCCTGGGGCAGATCAGCTCATGTGGGGATCCTCCCCCGCTCCGGGATCAAGGAGGCAGGTCCCTGTACAAGCTGATCTGTCCTGGCCCCACTGGCCTCAGGCGGTAGCACCCGGCTCCTGTCAGGTGGCAGGCAGATCGGGGTCTGCTGGCCACCCTGGGAGGGCTGCAGGGCCTGTGCCGGAGTCCTCCTGGGGGTGCGTGCCCCCAATCTGCTTGCCAGCTGACAGGAGCCAGATACTGTTGCCTGGAGCCAGCAGCAGCACCGATCTCCACAGTGTTGGATGCAGGCTGTGCCCAGCGCTGGTCTGTCATCTGGCAGGCAGGTGGACCCCCACCCTCGGGAGGACTTCGGCACAGCCCCCACATCCCTCCCTCCTGTGTGCTGCATTTTATGTTTCCCCATAATAACCTATGGGCGAAACAGCAAAACAGTTCTGATGAAATGAAATGTAACATTGCTCTCGAAACAGAACTCCAAACGAAACTTCCATTGAATTGTCACAGTGGAAGTCGAATTGGAACGGTGCTGTTTTGCACAGCCCTGCTACATAAGTATATATAATAATACTGTATATAACAGCACTAAGATATATAATGGTATTGTAACATAATATGGGTATGTGGGCTGTCTGCATGTATGTTTTAATGTAGTATTATGACTTGAAGGCCTCAACATCTGTCTGGACTAGAGATGATTCGAGATTTATGTGAAGGGCAGCTGGAAGGAGGAGAAATTGGTTCAACAGAAATAACCTTCACCCCTGGGAAGATTAAAGGTGGAACCCACATAGCAGATACCAAAACAGCAGGGTATGTCTTTGTGCATGTGATGATTAATTTAGTAACTGTTGTTACCTGTTTTTTAACTGCAGGAGAAAAATGGGGGGAGAACATAAGGAATTCATATTTGTACATTGGTGCTCTAATCTTAATTCATACTACATCAGCTATATCTGACTTATGAAACGAAAATATGAACACCTAAATAAATAGGCTTATCAGGCCTTGTCGTGACCTAGATTTTTATAAATAAACATCTGCAAAATAAGCCAGTCAACGTAAAATAATTATTTGCATATGTGATACCACTTTTAACTTATGGTATATAAAAGACACTAAATAAATGCTAAATGCCAGCGTTAAAATATTTTTCCTTACTTTTTGTATCCAGAAATTTCACGTGGATGCGAATGCATACTTCTAAATTAAAGTGTAGCATGTCCTTGCACTGATTTTTCATATGTACAGTATTTATGAATCTAAAACTAATTTTGAAACCTGGTTCTAAAATAAAAAGGGAAGACTTATTTGTGTCCCTATAACTTGTAATGCTGATCCCCGAAATATGGAGCAGTCATTTTCTTCTCCTCTGCGTCTCTTTATTCATATATTTTTATGGTTCCTGCTCCTTATTGGTTCTGCTTTTTTCTGCTACACCTGAAATTTTCGTGCAGAACAGAGGAACTTGGATTTAATGCGAGTGAACCTAGTAGTATGTGGTTGTAGCACTAGCAATTGCTTGGAAGCACTTTAATAAAAAGTATTTTGGGATAGGCTTTAGGAAGTACATGGGTGTTGTAAGTGATCAGGATGTTGTCCTCTGGGTACAAAAACAAAGGAAAGTTCAGGCAGGTGGCCTAATAGAAGAATTAGGCTTGGGCACAGGCAAGGAAATAGCTCAGAGACAGGACCACTCAGAAATCTTTGCAAATTAGACAAATACTGTCCCCAGTCTACTGGTGACTTCACTCATTCTTTTCACAGTCCTGAGTATTGTTTGATACTTGTGTAAATAAGCTCAAAACACCATTTTTTGGTATTGTGTTGTTCTGCAATACAAAGATTTTTTTCAGGAGACCCCTGGAATATTTCAAAGGCTTACTGATGAGAGTAGCATTTCCAGATACATTTCTGGAGGTACCTTCCATTCCTTAGAATTATATTGTAGGGAATATTTACTGGGTTCCAACAATGTTTCTAAATATCTTTACTCTGAAACAATTACTTAAACATTATTAAAACTGTTTCACAAACCTTTTGTGCTCTCCTCCTCCTGTTGGCTAACTGCTAATATCACTGGGCAAAGAAGCAAGAAAGCTGTGTTAATTTTCTTCTTAAATAGGAATAAATGCAAAAGAAGACTGACTCGTAGAACAAAAATCTTTATATTTAGGCTTGCAAAGAAATACCAGTGACAAAAAGGTGCTGTTCAGTATTTCAGCAGGGTTATATTTTAAAGGGATGTATAATGTCTATTTAATTAATGGTTACCTTCAAACTGAAACATTCCATGCTACATACATTTATAAAAATGCTTTTGAACGTTCTCTGATAGCTAATGATTTAAATGGACTACGGCTGTTTTACCTATCAGTGTTTTCCAATTTTGTCTTAGGAGTGTATGCTTACTGATGCAGGTAGCAATGCCCTGTGTGCTTTTTGCTGCTTCCCCTTCAGAACTTCGTTTGAAAGGTGGTACCAATGCTGAGATGGCTCCACAGATAGACTACACAGTGATGGTAGGGGGAATTCTTCAGCTTGCTAAATCTTTCAGGTGTACATGCCAAGTACCTTAGCTACTTCTGTATGTTCGTATTGCAGGACTCTTTAAGTTTCCAGTGTGAAATAATATACAATAACCAGCTTAAAGGGTATTATAGATAAGTGAGCATTCATTTGTTTGCATAAGAATACTGTTGTATTAATGTAATATGTTTAGAGAGCAACTGATGCCTCAGAGAATTCCCTGAAACACATCTGCCTCTACTTATCTGTTTCTCTTCCTTTATTTTTAAAACTGGAGATCATTTGACTTATAGAGGCTTTTGGGTCTGTAAGTGTTAAGTATCATAGAATCAATGAGTTGGAAGGGACCTAGACAGATCATAGAGTCCGACCCCCTGCCATGGGCAGGAAGGAGCACTGGGGGTGGCAGGAGTCATAAGACCCCAGCCAGGTGCCTATCCAGTTTCCTCTTGAAGATTTCTGGGGAAAGTGAGAGCACCACCTCCCTGGGAAGCCTATTCCAGGCTCTGGCCACCCTTACTGTGAAGTAGTTCTTCCTAATATCTAACCTAAACCTATCCTCCCTCAGCTTGTGGCTATTGTTCCTGGTGACTCGAAGGGGGGCCCTGGCGAACAGACTTTCCCTGAGTCCCTGCTGGTGGCCCCTGATAAAGTTGTAGGCAGCCACAAGATCCCCCCCTCAGTCTCCTCTTGCGGAGGAGTAAGTGTAAAATAGTGGTAGGGAAAGGGGAGGGTGGATTTAAACAAGAATATCATTCACAATGGTCTGGAGAGTAAAATATGAAAAACTATATCATATTAATCAATCCTGCAAGGCACTTAATATTTTTATATTGTATTTGAGATCCTAACAATAAAACTATTTTCATTTTGGAGCTCACTAGTAGGATGGAATAAGTTCATTAAAATTGATTTGTTCTACGTTTTTTAAAATATGCTTATTCCTCAGGTCTTTAAGCCAATTGCTGAAAAGTTCAATTTCATGTTTGACTGTGATATAAAGAAGAGGTGAGTTACACTCTTCCTGGTTGTGAAATACTTTGTGTTGGGCCTGTTTCTAAGGTTTCCATTAAATTAGAATGTTTTTCAGTCCCATTTTCTGTAGTCCATGGACCACAGAAAACCACTAACTTATGCAGTTTACCCATCTGTGGACAGATGATTGGCTATTAAGATACTTAATATTTTTCAATTATTTTAAGATGAAAAAATTCTTCATGTAGGATATTTCAGTTTCCTATAGTGCTTACTATGTGAGAGACACAACTCCTGCCTTAAGGAGCTTACTGTCTCTGTTTAGGTATGGATCCACATATGAGAACAACAAAAAGTAAGGTATTAAAAATATGGAGGAAGAGAAAATCTGTTACATTAATATTATATAGTTAGTAAGGTTCATTCTATCCATGTTATGCTGGTAAGGCTGTGTAAAGAATGGATAAGACTTTATAAAGAGCTTTAGCTTGTCTAAAGTGATGTGTTGTATAGTAGATGTAAATTAGCAAACAAAATATGCTAAATTCATGTTTACTGTTTTCTTGCTTTGTTTGTACCCTTTCCTTTGCATTTAACCAGTCTGATTACCATTTTTAATAGGGGCTACTATCCCCAAGGTGGTGGTGAGGTGATAGTCCGAATGTCACCAGTCAAACAGCTAAGTCCAATAAACTTGACTGAACGTGGTACTGTGACAAAGATATATGGAAGAGCATTTGTGGCTGGAGTCTTGCCAATTAAAGTGAGTGTGTTTAGATGTTCTAGAAGTATGTAACTTTATAATATAAATAAAAATTATACAACTATTTGTATATTGTGTATAAATTATACATCTATTGGTCCTGCTTTCTGTCTGTATACCTAAACATTTTTACTGTAATGAATCTAGTTGTTCTGACCTTTAAAGTAGAAGGCATAACAATATTATTTTAGATGTTTCTAAAATTTTCATATTTCATAGATTTATGGTAACACCAACAATATGAGGGAAAGACATTGTCGTTGCTCTGATCTTTCAGAAGCCTGTGGCAGAGATTCAAAATTGGGTGACTTTCTAAAAGATATGCTACCTCACAACCAGAAGTGAAGGCCTTGATGTAAGAATTTATTGATGAAATTGTGTGGCCGGTATTATAGGAGATCAGACAAGATGTTCATAATGGCCCTGTCTAGCCACAAAATCTACAACCCTATGAAAGTGTTGCTATGAGCTTTCCAAACACTAAGGAAGATGCACAATCTCTTTCCCAAGGTGCTTGTAACCTGCAACATCAAATAGCTTTCCTCTACCTAATAATATTGTAATAAAGATCCAGTATATCTCAAGATTTATCAGGGCTAAAAATAAAATCTTCAGTTTTAGATAATGGAAAACTCTTGAATTTCTATTACTACTGAAGCTACTGTTTAATAACTCTCAGTAGTCCAGGACTGAGAATTGCCTGAACTTGGGAGAAAATTCTACTTCGAGAAATTAGAAGTCAACTTGCACTGGTTTCAAACAGTGCATTATAGAATATTCATTTAAAAAACTGACCTCCTGTTAACATGGAATAACTTTTTTCAAATATCTATTCTTTCTATTATAAAAGATAAGACAGAAGGGGAATTTATACCAAGGATTTCTTTTAACTACAGCATCTAGTTCCTTTCTGTTTTTCTGTATAGCTGGCAAAAGAGATGTCATCAGCTGCAGTGAGATGCATCAGAAAAGAAATCCGGGATCTTTACATTAACATTCAGCCTGTTCAAGAACCTGATAATCAAGCCTTTGGAAATGGAAGTGGAATAATGTAAGACAAGACAAATTTCCAGTATACTTATCTACCTTGTCTTGCTGGCTTGCAATATGGATCTTTCTGAGACTGAGAGGTTGTCAAAAAGAAAGGAACATTCTTTCCTGTTTTAATTAAGAATAGGGCATTTTTAATAGTCCAAGAACCTTTAATACACGTGTGTGTGTGTGTGTGTGTGTGTGTGTGCACGCACACACACAGACATGTATATACATTGAATCTTTGGCAGGTGAAGGTGCCTTGGAATTTTTAGCAAAATAAAAGGTCACTTCTAAATATTCTTAAATTAAAACTTGCTCAAAATTAAAAATGTGTATGTTTAAGTATCTGAAACCTAGGCAATTAAGACTGAAAGGGATTTTTAATTATGGTACATTATCTCACTATCTGGTCATTCCGCGAGTCCTTCAGCAAAACCAGAGTATTCAGAACCCAATTAAAAAATGGGTTAGTTTGGAAGAAATGCAGCCTGCTTCATATCATAATGAAGCGAAAAGGAGAAAATGTTATTTTATATGCTGGTCCTTTTCTGCCTTAACTGACATGGAAAAACTTATATTGATGTTACACTAGAGTTATTTATTTAAAAATCAAGCTTGCATTATATTTTACTACTTATGTCATTAAATGTATACAGTGTGTGCAATGTAGCTAATTTATTATGTACCTTTTTCTTTTAGTATTGTTGCAGAGACTTCCACAGGTTGTCTGTTAGCTGGATCATCCCTTGGTAAAAGAGGTAAGAGTGGTATAAAATTTTTAACTTTTCCAAGTGTAACTTTATCTACCAGGTGCATCTGTGAATTAGTTAACTTGCTCAGTGGTCCTCCAATGCTTTCAGCATTGACTTTTCAGGCAACTTCCCAATATATATCTTCCACCCTAGTTCATACAATGTAAACTTTGCCCAGAGTATTTATGTTCAAGCTGTAAGACTGAATTTGGTTTTAAGGGTACCTTGTTTGACTAAAACTGTTCTCAAAAGGGCCTACATTTTTCCTTATGTTCTTCATCAGCTATGTGTGCTAATGAAGGATGAATCATAGCCTTCAGAGTTCTTGTCAAGTGAACATCTGAGGCAAGAGTATGAGA